TTTTTTGTCGGGGGTGAAGGAATTTTTATGTTTCACAATTAATATGCAAAATTTGAAATTTTAATCTTAAAAACAACTAAAACAAATTACTTGTGTGTATCAACAAGTTGTTAATCATCAAACAAAAAACACAACCCTAAATAAATCCTCACTTCCAATCAACTATTCCCACTCAAAACACTTCCAATCCGTACAACACCCCGGCGTACTTCTCGTGGCCCTCCCTCACAAAATACAGGTCCCGCATCTTCTGAAATGCCTGCCACGTCAGCAGGCTGTCCGACCCGGCCTGGTGGCACTTCCCGACGGCCCGGCCCACATCCAGGGCCTCGGCCACCCGGTCCAGCCCTCCATACAGGCTCGCGCAGAACTTCATCAGGTGCTTCACGTCGTATACCTTCTCGCCAAAAAACGCCCTGAGAACGTCCAGGAAGCTGCCCAGCCTGTCTGGCAGCTGGCGGCGCGTGAGAACCTTCACCAGGTACCCAAAGTCGTACGCGCTGTGGAACGTTACCCAGCTGACGGCGTCGTTGCACACCAGGCCCGAACCCATCATCAGTTCCGAGAACCGGGCCGACTCCACACCCGAAGACCGGCAGCGCTCAAAGTCCACCCCCTGCGACCGGAGCAGCTCGATCGAGTCCGGCGCGTGGGGGTCTCGCGCCGCGTCGAAGTCGGAGAAGTTGAACTGCCAGATGCAGAGCTCGCCCTCGGGCCCGAGATCCGGGAGGTTCCCGTCGGCGTCGGAGAGGGTAAGGCCGAGTTGGATGAGATTCAGGGCGTCGACGTTCGACTTGAGGATCCGGTAGTGATCCGACGGCGATGGCTTCCCGCGCCGGCTGCCGGCCAGATCCTGGTGCTTGAAGATGACGCCAGGAAACTCGGTGTCCATGGATACAAACGGGTACCGATCTATAAGATCCGACAGCAGATCGATCTCGGATTCGAGGTTATCGGACCATACCTCTCGGATTTTTATCGGCCTGCGGTCGGTCATGATTAATTAGTTCGTTAGATCGCCTGAGATTGCAATTTTGAACAGAGAGAGAGAAAAGAAAACCTAATTTTGAGGGTGAATTGGGGGAAGAAATTGAGTTGGGTATTGGCTTTGAGGAGAGGGCTTTTTAAGAGGTGTAGAGAGAGAAGGCGGCGTGCTGTTGCAGGAAACCGGAGCCGAAAAGGAATTAAATTTATTTATGCAAGTAGCAATTTTCTATTTTTTAATTACTATTTATTTTATGTTATGACAATGATACAACTTTTTTTTTTTTTCTTTCTAGATTTATTCAACCAATGTCAAGGAATCGGAAAATCTTGAAAACAGGAAGAGAGAAAAGACGGCATAGAGTCCGTCCAAAGAAACGAGTCAGACGCCCCTAAAGCCCATTTAGCTAGCTCATGAACAATAACATTATTAGCTCTAGCAACATGACCACAAACACTACAATTAAAGGATGACAAAAGATTGATAATATTCTTCGAAAACATGTTGCAACGTATCATTTGAAAGGCGGTGAGTAATTCCATGGATGATAGAAAGAGCATCAGTCGCAGTAGTTTGAATCATTAATCCAAATTCCATTGCACAACAGAGTCCGAACGGTAAGGTTATAGCTTTAGCAGCTGCCAGGGAAAAGGATTCAAATTGTCGAGATGCGAAAGCGGCCCAACACACTCCCTCTGAGTCACAGATCCACCCTCCTAAACCGATCGACGCTTCACGTACAGCTGCATCACAGAAAAAGGGTGAATCCATTTTTGCAAGTGCCACGCCCAAGCCAAGAATCAGCAGTCCGGGTCAGTGGTCGGTTTGAAGTGGCCGCGTATGAATATACAAGGGTCAACTCCTCAAGCCACATCTGGATCTATGAACTTAATTGAATTGACTTGGTATGGAAATCTACTAAGTGATAACTTTCAAATTCAGAGAAACCCCGGAATTAACTCCTCAAGCCATCCTCGTCCAGATGCCAAAACTTGTTCGACACTTCTCCCTGCCAGATCATGTCGTAGACGATTTCTCTCTTGCCAAATTAGCCATAAGAGAGGGGCAAACATAGGTGAACTCATTTCTCCTCGGTCCATCAAGAATTTCAGTGAAGATCGAAATAAACCCCATGTCGCGTCCGCTAATATGTCCCACTAGCCAGTCAATTTCTAAAGACGCTTGATCCACTTACAATCAAAGAAGATATGGGCATTCCGCATCTGTGCATTTTACTTCCACATTTATGTGACGCCGAGCCAAATTCTCAGAATAAGGAAAAGCCTGATTGCTCAATTTCCATAAAAAAATTTTAACTTTCGAAACAACATTTATTTTCCACAAAGTTTTCCACCACCTCGTATTGCTATTCGAACAAGATTCTCGGGAGTCATTAGGGAGGGATTTCAATAAGTGGTAGCCACTTTTCATTGTATAAGAACCACTCTCTGAGTGGTGCCAAATTAATTGATCCGCAGAGTGGGTAAGACTCAAAGTAATAGAGAGAATCTTTAGTGCATCAATGGGTGAAAAAGTGTTATTAATCAAATTCTCGTTCCAAGAACCGCTTACCCCGATGAGTCTATACCAACCACTCGTCTGGAAAAGGATAAAAATAACGAAAATGTGGTATCCAGGTATCGAAGTAGACTCTGATTTGCGACCCGTCCCCCACTCTCCATCTCAAACCCTCTTGAATTACCTCTCATCCCCACAAGATACTTTTCCAGATAAAAGAAGAGTCCACACGACTCCGAGCGTTAAGAAAATGGTCAGAAGGAAAATACTAAGCCTTGAGTACCGTAGATACCACACGCCTTAAATTTTTAATTTTAAAGAAATATAGGTATAGTATTTTTTAAGTAATTACGAGGTTGTACGGGAGGACCAAAATTCTTTTTTGCCTCGTGCTCCCTTGCAATTTGAATCGAATGGTAGATATTAATTTCTGAGTCAATCTAATGGTGACAAAGAGTACCTGATGCTATGTAGGTACCAGGAGTACCCGACCATAAAAGGTTCATAGTAACTATTATATGATAGAACAATAAAAAAATAGGATCATTACTTAATTAATGTAAATGTAACGATTTATTATTGATGGGTCTCCTCCTAGATCTGGAGTGAACCGGTGGAAATGAGCTCCGGTCTGTTCGAATCGTCTCCAAGTCGCCCGTGTACCACTGTGAACACCTGCAAGAACTCAACACCGGAAGTGTTTTCTGGTGAAGAGCCTCTGACGCTCAAGTCAGTGAGTGAGGAGAGAAGGAGCTCTGCTCAGTAGGAGCAGCAACTGAATAATGAATGAGGAGAATAAAAGTTAGGGTTTAGGGTTACCTCAACCCTTTTATATAGAAGTAGAAACATTTACTTGAAGTCCCTAAAATGCCCTGGCCGACTTACATGAAGTACCCAAAATGCCCTGGTCGGTTCGCATTCTGCTTACTCTTGAGTCAGCATCTAGATTTCTTCTTATCCTGTATAAACTCGCACTTGGGAACCTTCCATGTGTCACATCTGCACATCGAGTCGTCGGAGGTCCTCGTAAGTCGACTTGTAACCTTACCGAGTCAGTCTGAAGTTATAAAAGTATCCGAGGGCTCCTAGAGTGCCTGCTCGTCATCGTGGATGAAGTCGTCTTATGTCCGGTCGACTTTATAAAGTCGATTAGGTACCATGACCGGTTCGACGGCCTTTGAATAGCCGATGGACCAAGTCGACATCGTTGGTGTTGACTTAGTGGGGTCGTCTGCAGCCTCCAGTCGGGCAATCTATATCTGAGCCGGGCCATGACAATAGGGCTATATCATCTAGTCCCCCCCAAAAATTACTCTAAGCGATTTCGAGCGTGAGAGTAAGTTTGGTAGTTAGGCGATGAGTCGTCTCGTCTTTGCCCTTCATTTGTCCTGTCGATGACTTATTTTATTTGATTATGACTGGCGGTCGAGACCTACACTTAGAACTTGTTCGGGATTGAACCCCTTCCCTTCCATTTTCCCCTTTTTTTTCTTCTCTTTTTTTTGAATTTCAAATTTTTGTAGGCGGCACGTGGCTCGCCGCCTTTATCCTCCTTTAGCCGCTTCGAATTCCGTGTCTCATCTTGGCAGTTGATTTCCCCTTTAATCGCAGGGCTAGGGCTTTCCTAACCGCCCTATAAATACCTCTCACTTTTCTCTTCTTCCACTTTTCGCAACTTTTCCTCCTTGAATTCTCAAATCTCCGGCAATCTAACATTTTGGTGCTTCTGACGGTCGCCACATCCGGGAACTTCTCAGATTTCGCAGGACTTCTTACTTCAATCATCATGTGTAAGTATTGATTTCATTCCTAGCATTTATTTTTACTCTCTTTTTTTTCTTCAATTTTTCTGGGTTCCTGGGCTCATGTTCTTCGTGTTCTTGAGGATTTTTGAAAGTTCTTGGTAAAGTTCGCGCTAGATCTTCTATGCTTACTTTTTATCGATAGAATCGTGTTTGTGAGGGTATCGCTTTGAGAAGTCAAGACGACTCCTTTTCCCCTTTACTTGTTGACTTATGTCGACTCTCTAACCTCCTTAGTCACCTTGAGCTTCAGTCATTCCTCGTTTTTAGGATTGAATGAGTCGAGTAGATACATCAGTGGTCGACTTTGTGTTCTATGGGTTCCCATACCATAAGCGTTTTTTACTCTAATTCTTCTTTTGCTGATCCTTCCTCGATTTTTTCTTCAATAGATTCTGGGTCCGACTCTATCTCTGGCTCTATGCCCGGCTCTCTCGTCCGTCAAATAGAGGAGTATTCAGGTTCCGGCTCCATCGAAATAATTGGCTCTGCGCCTGCGATCGAGCAAAAGGGATCCCAAGGTTCGTCTGCTTCGACCTTTGGGATCGACAAAGATGTATATACTCAAGCCCTCCTATCGGGTGAAATAATGCAGAATAAGAACGACCCTGCTCGAGGTAGCGACTCCCCTCGACTATCTTCCTTTCCTCTAGGTATTCCTCTTGGACTCTTAGACATTCCCGTGTATAGGACAAGTCCCATTCCTCTGTCAATATCAACTCCTTTTTATGTATCTCGAGATGTAACCATAGCCTGTCCCGTAGTTAGATTAGCTGTTCTAAATCCGTTTTCTTATGCTTCTGCAGCCCAAATCGAGGGTTTTAGGTCATTCAGTTGTTTGCCTTCTGACTGGGAGTTGATCGCCCCAGGCCCCAATGACGTCTTTACCCATCCTCCCAAGGGCTGCTTCACGTTTTTCGTCGACCAAGTAATGTTCGGCTTGCGATTTCCAATGCAGCCTGAGCTTCTGTCGATTAGTAATATGTACCATGTACCCATAAATCAATTCTCTCCTAAATCTATTCGCATTATGATAGCTTTTATCATAGTTTCCAGAATAAAGTTGGCCATTTTTTGCCCGAATTCCTGTTGTATTGTTATAGTTACCGTTTCATAAAGGATGCCCACTGTTTGGGTCGCCAACCTGGTGTTTCCTTCCTCAAGGACCTTTCTTCGAACGTTACTGAGTGTAAAACCAAATTCTTTTATATCCGTCCTGCCTCCGGCCAGTACACCCTTTTCCAACATCTAGCTTACCTCGAAGGTTCAGCAGGACACCCATCGTCCTAAGTCGAGCCAGTTCCAGGATATGCTGGTTGACTTAAATAAGTTCAAATGGAGTGCTCGTTTGCTGGTTAAGGATCATAGTCTTCTTAATCATGTGGGCCTTTGTATTGACGAGGACGCTCCTCGCCTTGATGACCCTAGTAAGCTCATGCGTTTGTCCTATTTACGTGCTTACCTTACTCGTAGGTTGTATCGTGAGTGTAAATGATAATGGTGTTTCTTGATGACCTGTTTGTTCGTCTCTTTTTTTATTATTTTTTTTTTCAGTTAGGACTCTGGCACGTTTCGAGGCTAAAGCTGCGAAAGGTGGCGAGAAATCCGCCAAGCCTTCCTCTCTTCCTGCCGGTGCTAATGACGGCGTCGGCTCCGGATCGAAGCAGGTAGCACTCAAGACGACTACTGCCA